CAGAGCATCTGCCAGTACGTTTTTCCCTCCAGGGATATATTTAATGTTGAAATTGAATCACTTGAAATATTGGGCCCAGTGGACTTGTTTGGGCGATAATCTCCTCGGAGTCTTTAGCGCCTCGAGGTTCTTATGATCAGTTCATACCTCAAAGGCCTCTGGTGCCCCTTCTAGAAAATACCTCCAAGTCAATAAAGCCCATCGTACGGCAAATGCTTCTTTCTCCCAGACCATCCACCTTCGCTCTGTGTCTGTCAGCTTTTGGGACACATAAGCGCACGGCATCAGTCGGTCTTGAGAGTCTTTCTGCAGCAAAACGGTTGCCACTGCTACATCACTTGCATCTGTTTGGACAATAAAAGGCTTGGTCGGGTCTGGGTGCTAAAGCATGGGCTCAGCTGCGAAGAGGCATTTTAATGTCTTGAAAGCTTTCTGACAGTCCATAGTCCAAGCCAGGGGTTGACTCAGCTTTGGTTTGGTGGGTGACAGACCCATTTTTAATAGCTCCATCAACGGGACGGCAAGTTCAGCAAAGGACGGAATGAATTGTCTATAGAAGTTGGCAAACCCCAAGAAACTTTGAAGTTGTTTTCGGGTTCTGGGGGGTTGACAGTCCAGCACCATTTTCACCTTTCCGGGTCCATTTCAATCCCTAGGTTGGATATTTAGTAGCCTAAGTAGTCCAGTGACTCTTTGTGGAATTCGCATTTTGAGAGTTTCACATATAATTTGGTGGCTAGAAGTTTTTCTAGAACCTGTCGGACCAATTGAACATGTTCCTCCATGGTTTCGCTGAATATAAGGATGTCACCCAGGTACATGAGGACTGCCTGGTAAAGGTGCGGGTGTAGCACCTCATTGATGAGCTGCATAAACACTGCAGGAGCCCTCTGAAATCCGAAAGGCATGACTTTGAATTGGAAGCTACATAGAGGGCAGTTAAAAGCAGTTTTCCACTCATCTCCCTCTTTGATGCGGACCTGGTATTAAGCTTCCCTGAGATCGAGCTTGGTGAATACTTTGCCCTTCGACAGGTGGTTCAATAAGTCCTTCATAAGAGGGAGAGGATACATGTTTTTGATGCATACAGCGTTCATGCCTCTAAAGTCAACACACAATTTCAACCCGCCATCTTTCTTCTTGAACAACACGGGGGCAGCTAACCTTGATTTGGCAGGCTCAATAAAACCTTGTTCCAAATTGCTGTCGATGTATTTCCTTAATTCGGTCATTTCAGCCGGTGTGATGGAATACATCTTTGGTTTGGTAATTTTGCCCCGGGCTCTAATTCTATGGCACAATCAGTGGCTTGATGGGGAAGTAAAACATTACACTATTCTTCACTGAATGCTTTAGCCAAATCTTTGTATTGGTCGGGTACCTGGGGGTTATCTGGGAGAAGGTGGGATGCCATGGATGCTGGCTCAAGCTCTGGGTTCGAGCCGACTGGTGGCTTTGTAGTGGGTGAAAGGGGGGGCAATGGGCCGGGTCCAATGAGGATTTTTCTGAACCCATCCTCCCATTTGATCATTGGGGTCCATTTGTCTAATCAAGCAAGTCCCAATATGATTGATTCTGACATCTTGGGGACCACTATGAAGCATTTGAGTTTGCGACAGGGGCCTAATTCCATCTTGATCAATTCTGTCATTTGAGTGGCTGGGCCCCCCAATTAAGGTTCCATCCACTTGCTCAAATCTGATTGGGCGTTTAAGCGGGTTAGTCTTTATGCCCAATTGTTCAATGATGGGGAGCCCAATAAGACATCTAGAACACCCAGTATCAATGACAGCTTCTAACTCCCTGGCCTCCCCTGTGTTTGGTACCACTAACTTGACCTTAACTGTAAAAGGTATGATGGGATCACTCACCATTAGGTTGTCTTCACAGGTTGGGTTCTCGGGGATGTGGTGTCGGTCTGGTGGTCCATTACTCCCATCTCCACAGAGGGGGCTTTCCCAGCTGTGTTTGGCGAACCCGCCCCTAGCCAGAGGTCTTTCTTGATTCTTCCGACCTCTAACAGCTGTATTAGGCTTCAACTGTGAAGCTTGTGGTACAGGAGCAGGGGCCAGACAGTCTTCTGCCCTATGACCAGCTTGGCCACATCGGTATCATTTCAGCACCCTGGTGGGTCAGGTACGAGCAGTTTTGGATGGTCTGGTTGGTGGTCTCCTTGCCACAATTCTCTTAGTTGGGGCTGCTGGAAGGGGTTTCCTGTGTGGATTGATGCTGCAATCTAAGCTGAGGAAGGCGGTATACCACGACTATAAGGTCTCTGGAATTCCCCTAATTTCACAGGCCTTCTTTACTTCTGGATCAATGGCTTTTTTAAAATAGTGTAAAGTCATTCTTTCAGGCCAATCCATGAGGTGGCTTGCGACCCTTCTAAAGTCCCAAATGAATTCTGACAAGGGTCTCTTGCCTTGCCTCATTTCCATTAAATTCTCTTTATTCTCTGCTACCCTGTCTGGATTTTCAAATCTGAGTCTTAATAATTGAATAAATTCATTTGCATCGTATAATTTGAGGGCTTGTTAGTTGTGTAGTTGGGCCACCCAATCTGAAGCATCTCCTTCACTCATCCCATTTGTTATGGCCGTAACCAAATCGTGCTCTGTGGTGTATTGATCTCCAAATTGTTCTATATGGGATTAGATTCGAGTGAGGAAATAAGTGAAATGTTCATGGCGGCCATTGAATATGGCCTCAAAGGGTATTTGGTCCGGCCTGGGTTGTGGTTGCAAAGGTGGCACAGACCAGGCCCCTGCAGGTTGTACTGGAATGGAAAGAACAGGCTGGGTGGTGTACATAGGCTGGGTAGACCCCCTGAATCCTGGCTGGGTGGTGCCTCTCTGGAATAGGGGTCCTTGTGGCCTTGCTGTCAGTTGAGGCTGCAATTGTGGTTGCCAGGAGGAAGTTGGGTGTGGCCTGGTTCCTAGGTCAGGTGAAGGGGAAGTGGCTGCTGTCTGCTGCCTGGGAAACCCCCCTTCAGACCAGGGCTGTATTGGTGCTGGCTGCCATTGCCATTGAATCCACCCCTGGCCTGGATAAAATCCCCACCCTGGAGGGATACTCTCTGCAGGGGGCAAAATTCCTTCTGGAAAATGAGGGGATTGCCTCAGAGGCTGCAACATACCTCTGTCAGTTGATGCTTCTTTCTGGCTTCCACCAACTGGCATCTGTATAGTCTCTTCGTTCCTCACGATACTTGGGTAAGTGAATATGGGTGGTCTCAAGCTTCCACCCGTCCAAACAGACTGTGAGACCAAACCTGTCACCTTTAAATTCTGGAACCATTGATGTAAATCTGCCCTTGATGGACTTACAGGATAAATCTTGGGGGTGTCTTCTTGGGAGAATTCCAACCCCAATTGTCTCTTTTCCCTCCAATCTGGCAGAATAGCAATATGCCTGGGGCTAGAAAAAGATTTCTCTGTAGACAGCTGGGTTACCTCTGGGTTATAACAACTTCTTGAGTTGAAATGCTTCAGTATAGCTCCCAAATCTCTTTCTCCTGCTGCCATCCTGAAAGCATCCATCATCTCCTCCAAACAAGGGCTGGCAGGTTCAATTAATGCTCCAGAGGAAGGGCCCCCACACACTCCCCCCTGCACATCTCCAACTTCGGCTGACTGTTGATCTTTATCCATCTCTGGGAAAAGAACTCCAGGGTATCAGCCAAGCCCCCTTCAAAAAATAAAAGATAACTTTGGGAAATAAATGTAAGGCATCCAGAAAGTATCCATGATATCAATCACTCTGAGAAATTTTCTCTCCCATTGATTTATTTAGAAACAGATCTGGCATGTCAAAGGCAATTTCCCAAAGTGAAATTTTTTCGTGCATTACACAGAATCCACCTTCTCTCCTCCCACTTCTACATTTCACAAATCACGAGAACCAATTAACTAACACTGGAATTTCTTGATATGACATACAGAATAACCTTGAACTTTTCAACTCCTCCAAACTCTCTTAAAAAATGTGGCAGCTGAATTTCAAAGCTGACACTAGCTACATATTTATGAGAATACAAGGTTAACATTACAAGGCAAACATTATCCATAATATATGCATGTTAGCAAATGGAAGCTCACGATGGATACACATTCACACCAACAAAAGTTCTCAAGTGGCTTCAAGGTATTAATTAAGAAATCCATTTTAATTTATTTCTTAATAAAGCTATCTAAATCCCCAAAACAAATTCTAAAACAGACTTCCCAATTGTGGCATTCTCCAAATTTATTTATAATTTAACTCATTAGTGCAGGGCTGTAAAACTCATTGAGGGCCATACCAGGGTTGTGTTTGACCTTGGGGGCCCGGGGGGGGTTATGGCTGGGGTGGCATGACCAGCTCGACATCACTCATGTCAGGATTGCTTGTCGTGGCCCAGGTGGGGCTGGAAGTATCCCTCGTCTCCAGTGAAGGAAGACAAAACCAAGGAAAGTACCAAACCCTTGTCTTACAGAGGAGCCTCGCCATCCCTCTCAGGCCACAAGAAGGACACCCAGATGGTGGGGCAGACTGTCCAGAGCCCTAGGCAGCAAAGGACAAAGCATCCAGCCTGACCCTCCAGCTCCCAGGGCACCAGGACCCCACAGCCCAGCCTAACTCTGCTTCCCCAAGGGAATGTCTGGCTGTGCTTACCTCCTCCTAGAGGTTGCTTCTGATGTTCTTGCTCTCCTTGGCCAGGTTGTTCATGGTGTGTGTGGGAGGGCAAAGTGTGTGGTTCAGAGGGAGGATTCCCTTTCCACGCAAGGAGATCCAGCTTTGTAATCAAAGCATCCTCAGCGATAGGATGGGAGACCACCAGGAGGGGTCAGGAGGAGGAGAAAAGGGGATGGCAAAAGTGCAGCAGATCTGTTGGTGGCCAAGTGCTAAACCAGGAATTCCCTCAGACTCTAACTCTCATTATAATCTTCCTTCCTTCCATCCTTCCCTTCCCTTCCCTTCTATTTCCTTCCCTCTTCATTCTCCTTTATTTTTCATTCCCCTCTTTCCTTTTTTTTCTTTTCTCTTTCCTTTTCTCCTTTCCTATACCTTCATAGATGTTCAAGTGCAAAAGAGGAAACATACCTCCTTTTGTTTTGATCTGCTTTTAGTTTGTTTTGCTAGCCCTCTTCCAGCAAAAATGGAGTTTGGGAGTGCCATGCATGCCCCCCCCCCAGCCCTGTTTTGGCTGTGATGGCCTCCTGCAGCCCTCTGCCAGGGAAAACAGAGCATGCTTCATTTTTGTTGACCGAGGATTGCAGGAGACCATCGTGGCCAAAAACAGAACCTGGTAGGGCCGAGCATGATACTCCTGAACTCTGTTTTCACTGGCAAAGGGAGTGAATGCCAGCCCTTCACTGTTTCTAGGGTGGCCCTGTGAGCCAGACCTAAGCACTCTGTGGACTGAATCTGGCCCATGGGCCTTGAGTTTGACACCCTGCATTAGTATATTATTACTTTATGTACAAAATACTGCAAAAATACCATATATTGTACTTGACTAAATAATTCATTATTATGCAAATCATAATAATTAAGATATTCAATAAAACATTTAAATAGGGGATATGTAGGGAAAGAGATAGGTTTTTAATAAGCGTCAGACACAAATAGAATATCACCTGGTAGAACCCAGGAAACAGGCCCTCTCTCTCAAAATATTCTGTGTTTTGAATTTTTATTCTATATGAGTCACCCACTGTGAGATGGTCAGCTATTTCAATCAAAGAGAGAGATAAATGTAAGTGCCTTTTAAAGATTGAGGTCATTTCAAAAAGTGATTGCTACATTTTATTTCAGATTACTAGTCAGTAATCCTCAGATTGCAAGCAATGGGAACTTCTCTCTCTTTTTTTAAAAAAATACATTTTTTATTTTTTGTTTCTATATACACATCATTGTGTGAACAGTGTGGTTCCAGGTTGTTTTACATTTTAAAACAAACATGACAATGGTTTCACATTGATATTATTAGCTTTCTTATATAATTTGATATTAATACATATTATCGATCTTAATTATTCAATGTTCTCATGTACTGTTTTGTTTCAGTCTTTATATTAACATCCCTTCTTTTATTATAAGTTCTGTATTAGTAGTCAAATTTGCAGTATTTAACAAATTATATAATTCAAATAGCCATTCATAAATTCATGTTAATTTGTATTTTCCATTATTTATCCCCTTTTTAGTTCTTGGTTGTGCCACCATTATACTTAAAACAAAGTTTCTTCCTACTCCCAATTGTAATAAAACAAATAATATTCATCCTGTTAACATTTAATATATTATACCATTATACCATATTATACCATTCTAGTAATACTATACTCCCCTTTATCTATTAGCATATTTCACTGCCTCATTTTTAAATCTGTCAGGTTCCACGTTATTTCTTTTCCTATCTCACAATATTAATTTTCATATTGGTTGCAGTTCAATTATATATCTTTAAATGCTAATCGTCTAATAACATTTTAACTTCATGTTTATTACAATTAACAATTATACATCTTAAATAATAATACACACATTCATATGGAACCTTCTTTTCTTTTTCAGCCATCATCTCTTCTTCTCATTAAAGCATTGATTTGTTGCTTCCTAACTTGTCTCCCTGTTTTAACCTTTTCTCTTACTCATTCCTCCCTTCTCTGTTGAATTCCATTGTCTCTTTTTCAAAATATCTAGTTTTACCCCATCCTCTCAGCATATTTTCTCTGAGATTCCATTTATTGTTGTTTTTCCCTTAAAACATTCCCCCCTTGTTTTATTGCATCGATCATTACCATATTAAACTTTATTTCCTTGTTGTCTTTTGTTTTCATTTGTTGTTTCATCCATTCTGTTTTTCTGGTTATATGTCCAGTTAACTCCTCCTCTTCTTGGATTTCTTGTTTTCTTTCTGTTGCTTGCGTTTCCATTTCTAGCTTTTCTGCCACGCCCTGTATTTTATTCAAAATGTCCTCAAATCCTCTATTCATAATGTCTTTTATAGCTTGTAATTCCAGCACAATTTCCCTATATTCCACTCATCTTTGTTCTCATTTATTCCTTTTCTTATTTCAATTGTCCAACAATAAAACAAGCCTCACTTTTCAAGCTATAGGTCCAACATCCAGGAGTCTTTAAGTCCCAAAGTTAATCAATCTGTTTTTTTAATGTAATCCAAGGGTAATACATTCATGAATTTCTCCACCAGTTAAGTTTTATAATGTAACTTTCTGGGGTCCAAACTAAAGTCCTCTCACAGAATAGAAGTTGTTGTATCTTTATATCTCCAAATTAATCGACCTATTTCTCTGGGTTGTATCAGGGATTTTCAGAAGCCTCATAAATCTATAAACTCATTCTAATGTCATTTTAACCTTCTCATTCTAACCTTCAAAGTCACTGAGTAATTTTTCCAAATTTTTGGTAGTATGTTATACCTTCCTTCCATTAGCAGGTGGCGCTCCGTTCTAATTTTAACCAGTTTTCTCCAATTTTAAAAATAGCAATCCAAAATAATAAGATAATATTTGTTTTTACGTATATGGTTCCAGATTTTAAAATGCCTTTTCAATACAGTATCTTCCCAATTTAAAGTTCCAATTTTCTATATTTTCCAAAAAATTGCCTTCTCTCCCCCCCCACCCCGACTTTAAAGTTCTTCTCAAAAAGCTTGTACTGCCACGTTGAAAATAACAATGAATTTCTTTTTTCCCTGGAAAGTCTTTTGGGGTTAAGTTTTAAATAATGCAGATTTTTCTCACCCATATCCACACACTGTTCACTTATCTCCTCTCCAGCGCAATGCTTATGTGTTCATGGCTGTCCCAACTTTGTGGCAGCCATTTTGACCAGCCTCTTCTCTCTATCATGGCATAGAGGGGAAAAGCTCTGGTGTTCCACAGGAGAGTTGTGTTCTTTCCTGGGACCTCACAGAGTGCCCCTCCTTAGCTTCACCGCCCCTCCAAGGCAGTTTTCGGCTTCTTTGAGCCCACAAACAGTGAGAAGCCAGCACAGGAATGGAGAATTCCATTTCTCTGCTTCTGGTCTCGTAGCAACGTCAGCTGGAAGTCCTCAATGGGAACTTCTCTGATGATGTTAGAAATCACCTTGGCAGCTACTCTTGTCCAACGGCAAAACTTGAAGTTGGCTTGATAATTGTTGTCAAGAGTGAAACTTCAGGCCTGCCTCCGTTCAACATTCAAGAAAGAAAACCCCCAACTTTGTTGATTTAGAGAAGAGGTACTTTTACTAAGTTTGAAGTGTTAGCAGCGAAAGCTGCTTCATTCAAAATGTTCAAAAGTTACAAATTGAAAGCCACTCCAAATCCCTTCCTCCAGAGTCCAGCACTGAGAGTCCAATCAACATGCAGTATGATGTTATGGAAAAGCCCATCTTCAGGTATTTTTCCCATCTGGAGTCTCAGGACAGCTGGCCTTGAGAGAGTGTAAACATCTCTCCTCAGCAGTGCCATATTTCATGAGTGCAAACTTCCATTTCAGTTATCATGTGACTATACCAGCTCACTTCCCCATCCCAAATACCCGAGCCCCCCCTCCCTGTCACTATGGCAGCCAATAGCAAGCACACTGAAGAAACCATGCTGGAGATCCAGCTGACAGAAGCATTAACAGCTACATGCCTCTTCATTTCAACTTGTCGTTAGAGGGGTGGGGGAGATATTAATTATGAATGGATTACTTGGAAAAATGAACTTCTGCACTTCACTGAAACTCATGAGAGTTTGGAAACTTTTCAAGGATGCATCAACAAATGAGAAGAAGAAGGCAGATGATTCCCATAACAAAGAGAACTTGTTACATGGTCTATGTGGATTCCTTGGGGATGGGCTGTGAATTTAATTGTTTTATACCTTGAACTATTGCCTGAGAAAGAGTTAGTTTTACCTCACTATTACCATACTATGAACTCAATAAACTGTTTTATTTAAGCTTTTCAGAAAAAAACATGATCCTGAACTTTTATTTGGATACTCAAGCTGGATGTTGACATAAGTAATCCATAGAACTACATTTGTTAGCTGTATGTGGATTTTATATGTTCTTCAATTTTGTAATCCTTACAATTTCCAGAATTCCAACCAGAATGGACATAACTATGTTAAGTAAGAATTTTGGAGTTGCTCTTTCAACACATTGGAATATTCCATGTCAAAGAAACTGGTCCTTTAAGTTTATCTTGGTCCTTTAAGTTTATATTGATACTTACTTGAACATACGAGTCATCAAATGAAGCTAGATATGTACCATGAGTAGCTTTCTGTGAAGTTCAGATTTCCAAGTGTCTTTAATTTTGTATATATATTAAAACATTTTACTCTGCCATGTTGAATTAAAAATAGCACTGAAACTGCACTTTGATCCATATATTAGTCCAATAAATATATATTAGATCTATCTAGCTAAGAGCATGAACTAGAATTTTCTATGCATCTTTAAAGAAGCCAAGAGAAAGCAACGTTGACTATGAAAATAATTAAAAACAACAAAAATCTGTTATCAGCTTTGGAAGCCATATTAGCACCAGACACATCCACACTGCCCCATTCTTGAGCCTGGGAAAATGGAAGTGGGGAAATTCTTGGAGTGTATGTGGTTAGACATAATAGCATTCTTCTTCTAAGTCAAGGTCATATTATTTCTGCACCTGGCTTAGGAGTGGTTGAGGGGACGTCTCAAGTTGGGACAGATGGTGATTGGGGCATATGATGCAATGAGGGGTGCAGAGTGTGGATTTGTAATTTTTTACTTATTGAAGGGAAACCCAGAACTTTCAGATTCGGGATTTCCCAGATGTGCCAGTTTACTACTCTAATAAAAGGAAACTTTGAGAAAATCTGTCTTTCGAGTTATTGGTTGGAGTTGAGGTTTTCTGGAATACTGACATTATCCCAAATTTCTGAATAGCTGCCAGCACCCTGAAAGGGGGTGATCCAGGATGCTAAGCACCAGTTCCGACCTAAAGTTCAGGCAGAGCAAAGACTCAGCAAAGATGGAGGAGAAGGAGGAGATCACAGAAGGAACGGTGGGAATGGATACTGGAGGACTGATTGAGACCCAGTATCCTCCTCCTGAAGAATTTGTGCAAGTCATTGAAGCTGCAGAGGAGAGATGAAGGCTATGCACTCGGCCCAA